CTCACAACTGCCAGCAGCTGCACTGACAGCAAGGAGGGAGGGGGTGGCAAGACAACTTGCAGAAACTGGCGGCAGCTCATCTCGGGGGGTGGGGGGGGCATGTGCCCCCCCCCCCCATGCCCTCCCTATGCATTGCATATGATTTACTCCAACCCCTTGCCTGAAGCAGGATCATCTCTATACAAACTATCCTATACGCTATATAACATCTGAGCTTATCGGTAAGTATGCAGTACTGCACTAATGTATCTACAGTATATCTGGTCTGGGAGTTTGTTAAGAGCAAACAAACTAACTAACTGTCTCAACATGAGAGCAATGAATCTTAGCACAAGATTTGTAGCACACACACACACAGAGGCTTGTGTCCAAAACTTTTTACCAGCATAAACTTAAAACTTCAAAAACATAAGCTATATTAACTTGGTCTTCCACTGTGTCTTTTCCCCTCTTACCTCTTTTACTTGTTTGTCTTAAGAAAATATAAAAAGAATGGTATCTTGGCAACAGAACCTGAGAGCTGTTATCTAAAGTTGACTTCTTTTCTTCCTTAGAAGGACATCCGATATAAAATGAGACTTCTAAACAACTGCTTTGTCTTTTAAAAGACTCAGTAAAAATACTGAAGGGAATAATGGAAATTTTTTAATATGAACATTTACTTTGTTAATTGTTTCTGTTTCTTCTTATTTTTTGGATTTTGTTTTGGCTTTGTTAAGTAACTTTGAAACATTTTTGTTTGGCAGCAAGAACAAGTGAAGAAAGTATCCGGCAACAAAACCCCAGCCTCAACTTACTGAAATGTGACAATAAACAGTAACAAATGGTATAAGATACAAGGTAACAAATGGTAAAAGGGAACAAATGGTACAGCAACCCCTACTTAACGCTGTTTCGCTTAGCACTGTTTTGCTATAACGCTCATTTTAAACTGATACCCGATTCCACTTAGTGCTCAGCAAGTTTCATTATAATGCTCACGGTCACCAGCATGGGTCATTTAAAACACTTGCAGTCACCATCTTGGGTCATCAAAAACTTTTGGTTTCGCATAATGATCAGTTTTTCAGGAACCAATTAAAAGTGCTAAGTGGGGGTTACCTGTATGAAATTACACTGTATTAAAACAACTACCCAAATCTTGATGTGCTTCAAGAATCTATTTTCTGAAGGGGAACTAAATCACACTGCACTGTGTGCAGCCTTAGATGCAAATGTTTTAAGGTTCTGAAGCAGAGAAAAACGTGCTCTGGGATAACTGAGGCTTCTGGAGAAAAAGGGGATACTCTAGCAAGGTCTCAGCTGCTGCCAGACATTTGTGCTGGACAGACCAGAGGAGAGGTATATCAAGCAGAGCTGGCACCCTAGGTAAAACACTGTGGGAGAGGGGAGGCAAGATTTCAAGATGAAGGGGAGAGCATGCATGGGTTCGAGAGCTGAGTTGTATCCACATTAGTAGCACGCCCCAGTTTTGGCTGCTGCCAGCCAGGAGCCCAGGCTGCTCCCATCAAGCAGCTGGGATGCTGCAAACCTTGCTGGGAGCAGCTCAGGCTCTGTGGCTATCAGCAGCTACCCAGAGCCGTGGCTGGCTGCAGCTGGGAGCCTACAAACAGCTGCTGCCCTTCTGCCCTGGCCCTAGCCCCAGCTGTCTCCCAGCCCCAGGCTCCGGAAAGATAGCAGGTGCCAGTACTGCACCCGTTGGGGCTGGGAGGCAGCAGCCGTTTGTAGCCAGCCCTGGCTCTGGGTACCTGCTGATAGCCACAGAGCCTGGGCTGCTCCCAGCAGGGCTTGCAGCATCCCAGCTGCTTGATGGGAGCAGTCTGGCTGGCAGCAGCCAGAACCGGGGCCAGCTGCAGCCAGGAGGCTGCAAACAGCTGCTGCTTCCCTGGCCCCAAGGTGCCGAGGAATGTCAACCCCTGATCTAATTGGTTTCTATAGTTATTCAATGTATAACAAAGGTATACATATATAACTATTCGGTCACATTTCAAAGCATCTAAATCTCTGTGTACTTCCCCTCTGCCCACGAATTTAATCAGACTAACTAGCTCAAGACAGCCACATAAAATTACCCACTCCCAATGCACATATTTTGCAGTTATTGAGATATCTGAGCTGCACGAGATGACTGAAAAGATTAAAATGATAACAGATTTTAACAGTTACCACAGGTAACACCACATTATCAAAGGGTACCAGAAAGTCACAGGCATTATATAGATGTCATAGATTTTGGGGTCAGAAGGGACCTATTAGATCAAGTTCAACCCCCTGCCCTGGGCAGGAAAGAGTGCTGGGGTCAGATGACCCCAGACAGGCGTTTGTCCAATCTCCTCTTAAATACCTCCAAGGAAGGGGACAGCACCACCTCCCGTGGAAGCCCATTCCATACTTTGGCAACCCTCACTGTAAATAATTTTTTCCTGGCACCCAATCTAAAATTTGCTCTCCCTCAATTTGTGGCCATTGTTTCTAGTTACCCCAATGGATGCCCTGGTAAACATCGTATCCCCCGATTTCCTGCCACAAGATCATCTCTCAGCCTTTTCTTGTGGAGGCTGAGGAGGTTCAGGTCCCTCAAAATCAGTCCTCATAGGGTTTTTCTGTAGGTCTTTAACCAGATGGGTCACCCTCCTCTGAACCGTTTCCAGGTTATCCACATCCCTCCTGAAGTGCTGTGCCCAAAACTGGATGCAGTACTCCAGCTGTGGCCTGACCACTACCACATAGAGGGGAAATGTGATAACTGAAAAAATAAAAATTAAAAAAAAAAAAGTTACCTGCTGCACAAATTAATCTCCATATTAGCAGCTCACTGCCCAAATCTGAAACTTTATTAAAAAATAATTTTCCAGATGATTTTTTAATTTTCCATTAAAAACTATTCCATTTTGACAGACTTCTGAAATTGTTTTGAAGACAAATTAGAGAAAAACAGCCAAAGTATCTGTCCCTCACAAAATAATTCTATCCAATTCCCTACATACATTCATAAGATACCTGGCAAGGAAAATAAAATTTGGGAGGCTCTCAAAAATTGCTTTTTCTTCCATGACACTACTTTTTCCTCTCATTTTTGTCTCTTATTTAATTACTACACTTTTTCAGCTTACTGCATCTAGTTTTTCTTTTAGAAAGTTTCTCCTTTCCTTTCAACTGCATCTCCATTTACTTATACAAAAGCAATTTTATTCTCTTATGTTACTGTTGTCTCTTACTGCTGTCCTCCTTTTTCAAATATATTACTTAGTGTCCGTTTAAGAAGCTACCTTTGCAATACAAATAACTAGATAAATTTACTCTTTCGTTCTGTTGTGAAGTAAGTGTCAGACCACATCATTGTCATTGGAAGATTATAAAAATCCCTACTCAACACCTGACAAACAAAGCTCACACCTATATGTAAGACTGTTTCCATTCTTAGTTGTATTTATTTTACTGTTTTCAACTTCATTATCTGAAAATTATTCTTGCACAAACAGAGCACCTGGAATCCCTCTGGTTAAAAGGTATCTCCAAATCAGCTGTGTTAGTTTATTGAGGGCTGAGATAGGTCTATAACAGTGATTCTCAATTAATGTCTGTGAGACACTTCCAGTGGTCCCGCTAGGCCTCCACTTCCAAATCAAACTACCTCACTGCACTTTTCCATTTCCAGGGAGCAGGCCTAGACCGGGAATCAGCTGCAGCAATTTTGGGGACAGAATCACAGTCTCTTTAAGGCCCAATGGAACTTGCCTCTCTTGTCCAGTACCAGGTAATAGTGGCAGGAGCTGGCAGCTAGAGCAACCTAGTCCTTTGTCCCCTATGCCCTGGGAAAGGTATGAGGTCCCATTCCAAGAGGTTATTCCCAAAGGCAATATGCAACCAGGGCTTGCTACCAAGCTGTGCCACATGGCATGAAACTGTACTGTCAGCCAGACCCTTCCCAGAACAGGGACTCAGCTGCCCTGCAAAGGCATTTCCATCCTGAAGGAAGAACCTCCCCTCTCTATTTTTAATGGGCTGCCTCTTCACTTTTATTTTCCTCCCTGCTCTCCTTCTCCTCTCTGGACAATGTGCTAAAAAATTAGCAGTTTCCACCAAGCTGGGGAAGCTCGTGGTTTTACTGTTAATCTTATGAAATATAAGGTTTTGCACCCTCATTCCTAGATGGAACCTCATTTTGCATTAAACAACAAAAAAATCAAAAATTTCTAGACTTCACACTTACACCCCTATGTGCCATTTAGACACCTTTTGAGTAAAATGGAATCTGATGCTTAGTCTCATAATACTACTACTGGGTATCAGGGTATTACTCCAGGGATAAATACATAAAGATCTGGGGTGTTCTGACCCCAAAGTGACAGAAGCCATCATAATCTCTTTCCAGAGCAGTAACTCTCAGAGACACTGCCAGGCTCAAATGTTGCACTAATTACAATATTGTTGTTATTTGTGCATTTTACCTGTTTGTTTAAATCACTGTGTTTCTTGTCACATTATTTTTTACGCACTATAATAAAAATAGTATTTAAATGGGTGCCACTGAAGTCAGAACAGTTATGGAAGGGTGCCTCAAGTCTAGAAAGGTTAAGAACCATTGGTCTATAAGAAAATGAGGCCACTGACCTGAAACAAGGAGCTAGGGCGGCTTACAGATGTTAAAAAAACCCACCAGCACTTTAAACTCAGCATGCCCTTGCACTGAGCCCACCACATGCCCAGAAGAGACACTGCGTTAGTTGGACCTGCCTCACCCACTGTCTGGATAGATCAGGCAATGACTGAATCAGCTCTTAGATAAAAGCACCAAAGAGCCCTGCTGAAGCATGCAATCTATACAGACGCTGCAGAGTGCAGTTGAACTAACATGCTGCTTCTTCTGGTAAAGGACATTTTTTTTCCCCAAGTCAGCTGGCATCCTAGGTTTATAGAGAAAGTGTATTTACTGTATTTTTCTTACATTTCACATAGAGACATTTTTAATTTTAACCTTCCAGTAAAACACTTCCTACCTGAGGTGCATTTGTAGCCACTAGAAAAGCATTTGTCCGACCTGGGTGATCATAATCATGCATGGCAGCTGCTACATACAAAGCCATCAACTCCAAGGCGGGAATATTTGATGCCATACATGCATAGCGGTCATCAAAAACTGGGCAGCTTTTTGAGGAAATATAGGTGACTCGCCCAGGGGTCATCCCACTATCTGCATCTGAGAAGGGAAACAGAATAAAGTGTTCAGAACATTCAAGAAAAATTCTTGCATTTGTCTTCAAAATAGTCCTAAAATATATCAACCAACAGATTCCATTGCTCATGCTGGTGATTTATAGGAGCTTTGTTGTTTACATAACATTAATATTTTATAGTTTAAATTGTTTATCAATTTGCATCAAAACCATTGGATGCATTAGATGTTTCTGCATAAATAAGTATAAAGAGTTTTTATAGTGCTAGTGTGTTGTAAAATTATATTGAAATTTGCTGCCTGCAATGGAAAATCCACAAACGAAAGAGAAAAGAAGTCAAGCTACACAGTGACATCTGCCTAAATGTGTGCAAGAAACATAGCATCATCCCAAGGGGCCTTGTCATCTGCACCCCTTTAGCTAACGCACACAACTCTATATATGCAACACAACTATGCAGGACAACTTCAGAAAAAAACCCGAGAAATTCTTCTTCACCTACCCTACTCCAAAAGGGATCAGTTTAAAACAGACATACTTATGCTACTAAACTAAAATACATACTTAGCTACTATGCAGCAGAACCAAATGTACCACCAAAAATATTTGATGACAGCCACCCAATATAAGAAGAAAAAGTTGAATCAGTCATCACAACAGGAGCCATCTCAAGCACTGCACCAGCAACACAGGAGAGAATCAAGACAGAAGCACCCTGAAGACCAACATCATTAACTTATGACAACACCTCTCACCCCACTTTGAAATACCTGTACTCTCCAAAGGCCTGAACTTTTGCCCATGAAAACAACCTGACAAGATACTCACATGCAGAGAATAAGAAGAATTCTTCCACAGACTGCCTGAAAGTAGTTCCAGTACCAGGACAGAACCACCTTTGACAACCCTCCTATCACAACAGGTAAAACAAAGAACAATAAAACATTGGACTGGGCACCTCCCAAGGACACAACCCCACACTGGACTACTACATCAACTGTTTCAGGAAGAAAGCTAACAGTGAAATTCTCAACAAATGTCATGACCATGACAACGTTTCCCCCTCAGAGAAAAAAAAAAAGTCATGCAACCCCAAAGACCCAACAACAAAACAGTCAAACCAGTGGACAAAAGTGGAACTACAGTCAGTTATTCTCAACCATCAAGACCACAATCACTTTGGCCAGACAAATGATACCAGCTATGATAAAGAACTTGGGGAAACCAGTATTTTCTCTAGAATTAGAAAATATTATCAAATCCTTTCCCCATCAGATTCAGGAAAACCTACTCCACCATTAATCCCCAATTCTCCCACCACAGGAACTTTTTATGTGCTCCCAAAGATTCATAAACAAGGCAACTCTGGGAGGCCCATCACATCCAACAGCAGGACCCAATCAGGTTTCATAGAAACTATCCTGAAATCACCTGTCACTCAAAGAGCAAGCTTTCTACAAAATACAACAGATTTCCTCAACCAGATCCTGAACACCAGCCACCTCCCCAAGAACTAGCAACCATACTAGCAACCAGGGATGTCATCAGCCTGTACCCTAGTACCCAACACAATGAATGCACAGCAGTCTGCCTGAAATGCCTACAAGAACACAGACAGCCACCAGATTTGTAACAACATGTTGCACAAATCATCGACCTTATCCTCACCAAAAACAACTTCACCTTCAACAATCAACACTTCCTCCAAACCATGGGCATAAAGCTGTGACGATATTGGTATATTGAGGGACAAGTCAACTGGAGAAGGAATTTCTAGAAAAGTGCACCATCAAACCTGCATTGTGCGCGCAGTACATAGATGATATTTACCTGGACTCACTTACTGACTTTAACCCTAGGTTTAACAACTATTACCCCTCAATCAAACTTTCTCTGGAATATTCCTATACTAACAAACTTTTAGACACCATGATCCACATTTTGGATGGCCATACTTATGTCCACAAGACCAGCAATCATCCCAAGCACACAAAAAACACAATCTAGGCCCTCAGATACCACTATCTGCTCTGAAGAGAAAACAACACCTACTCGGCCAGCCTTAAATCTACCTTTATACAATGGGAATGACCATTTAGATTATCTCAGATGACCTTGGAAAACTTTACATGCTAATATACGCATCTCATTCAAAATGAGAGATGTACAGAGCATGCACAATAGCTATGTTTTCAGAAAGTCTATATTAATTCTTGTTCAAGTATGGAATACAAAGACTTGCACTGAAATATCTATGACTTCACATGCACATAATTTAGAAGGAACTTTGCTGAATCCTCTTTAGAGGAAAGACACGTTTATTCCAATTAAAAATCTACTACAGCAGGATTAGCAACATAAGGTCCATGGGCCAGATCTGGCCTGCAGAACCACTGAATCCAGCTTGGGGGCGAGGGGGGGGGGAAGGAAGGGAGGGAGAAGAGGTAGGGGGGCAGAAGGTTTCGTTTGTGCCTGTACCGGGCCAGAGCAGCAAGAAAC